CAATGTCAAACTTTCTCTTACTTTGTATGTAAAGAAAAAATAGAAATGCTAAACTACGTTTAAACTACGCTTGTTGAAGCCGCTATTAAGAGTTAAAACTTTGAAAAATTAATCTACCATCAGGGTAACTATATTCTTATTATTATTATTATTATTATTATTATTATTATTGTTATTATTGTTATTGGTGAAAACATATTACAAATGTTATAAATGATAAAAGTTATTCGTTACCGACAAACGTTACAGCGTTTGTAGGACTTTGTAAGCGTTTGTAGTCAAAAACCAAAGCGGCATGAAAATGAAAACATCATCCATTCACTGAATAGTAAAGAAAGAAAGAAAGAAATTAAGATAGATAGATAGAGACAGAGAGAGAGAGAGAGCGGGAGAGATAGGTAGAGATAAGGACAAGTCCATCTCTTCTATTTTCGATGTTTTTTATTAATTTTTTTTTTTTAAGAATTGATTTCGTTGAAATTTTTGAAATCGAATAAGTAATCGTTAAGCTTTGTTTTAAATTGAACCGCATGCATACATACCGTATTTTCGTTTGTTATGTTTTACTTGTATTTGTTCTTTTATTTTTTACAACTGTATGTATGTGTAAAAATTAATACAGTTTTTAATTTTACTAAGATTTTATTTAACACATTTCCCATTTTTTCCCATTTACCCTGTGCATACGGCTTAGTTTAAATTATTAGAGTGATACTAAATTCATTTATGTTATTGTGATTATGTATGTAATTTAACTGCAATATAATAAATTATAAAATCAAGAGATGAGTGCAGTTTCTTTTGCCCTATTTCAAATTACTGTGAAAATACAAATAAGTGTGGTAATCCATTGCGAGCGGTGTGTGAGCAGCGAGTGTGAAAGTGTGTCTTGAGCCTCAACAAAAAAAAAAAAAAAAAATCTTCTTAAAAATAATTAATCAAAAAACAATTAGCAGTTGTTAATCAATTCAAATCTAAAGCTTCCTTAAGCTTCTACCTATGATTAAACAAATTTTCAATAAGAGTTCCCCAATAATATTTATACGGGATTCAAATAACATGAGTCCGTCTTTGTATTCGGTTTATCGGTCTTATCACAAGTTGTGACAATCAATATCACAGAAAGAGGATTAAGCTTCTTAAGTTTCTTGTTAGGAAAATAATAAAATTGATCAAAAGACGATAACGTCTTTTCTCCTCAGTTTATGAATCGAAACTTCATTTTATTTCAACTCTTGCTACTGTATCAATATCACAAGGTGTCGCGAATACATATATTATTAGGACGTATTAGTATTATTATTATTATTATTATTATTAATTTAGCCAGAGAAGAAATTCTAAGACTAAAGTCTTAAAGCACTAGCATCTAAGGCTTTCGGCTTTATTGAAAACTCTACCGAACTTGAGATTTGAACCCACGACCACTGAGTATTAGAACAAAAAAACAAAAAATGTGTAACAGTCTGAATATACATAACAGTAATAGACAACGAGTATTAGACAAATTTTTCGAATCAAGTGGATATCAAATAATGAAAAGCAAATGCAAGCTTTAAAGAAAGAAAAAATTTATGTTTTCCAGCACAAGGATGCATTGGCTCTGAAAGACGTGCTTGCCTTGCAATAACAAAATTGGAAGAATTATCCCATGAGCTGTTTACAAACCATCACATTCCTCTGACCTTCTCTAATTTTCCTTGATTTCAAGAATTTGACAAACCGCCTATATGCTAAAGGGTTTTTTTTTTTTCTGTTTTTTATGAAATCGAAAAATTGAAAACTTACTTATATATCGTATATATCGATTATTGCTTTTAAAGGCAGTTTTTTCTACTCGTTTTTAACAAGTAATTAACAATTCCGTGTTCCACGTGTTCCACGTTTGCAGAAATCTCATATCTATATTGTTTTTAAACTTGGATAGGCCCGATAATTGATCAAAGTGCGAAAAATATGTAAGGCCTTACTTTAATATATAGTTTAGTTTCCAATGCTTTTCTTCTGTGTCGTTCGAAACCGGCATAGAAACACCACATTTTTCATATCCTTACTGTAGTGTCGATAATTTTTTTGCATTTTTTTGCCTTTCCTTTTTCATTAATTTTTTTTTTTTTTTTTTTATATATATCTGAATGTTTTCGCTGGCGGATTCCCATCTAAAACTCAAACATCGTTCTATATATATATATAGGCAAAGATAAGTCTTAGCGCATTAATTGTTCAAAACGTTTTCAAATTTGTTGGATTTTGGTTGTTCTGAAAGCACATATTTATACCGATCGAAGGAATGGCGATCGACTGAGGTCTACTGAGGTCTAATATATTCTGTTACCTTAGACTTTCTAAGTTACAACTTTTGCTGATTTCAACGATGATCGTGACCAAATCATGCCTTTGACCAAATCGTTGTTTGGGTATCATTGTCGTGTGGATGAGCAGAGGCACGGACTCTTGTTTCGCGACGTTGCGCTAGCTATACAAGAATTATGCGAATTATGCACATCTAAATGTTACACATAGAAAAAGAAAAACTGAGGCATCCCAGTACTAGGGTGAGACCACATAAGACTCTTTCAGAACTCTAGCATTATGATAATTATATAGAGTTGTTTCATATATACATCTCGGCTTGTATTCGTGCTTAAGAATAACATCATAATGTTTTTAAAAAACGAATTTTTGTTTTTGAAAAGCTGCGCGGTAGCAGTGTTTTAAAGGAAAACTCATTAGCATCTTATAAGCTAAAAAGTATAACGAAACAAATCGCTTTAATGTACCGAAAGAGATTTATTACTTTAATGATAAAAATGCAAAAAACAATGAAAAGAAATCAGAAATCCAAATACTTAAATTACATATGATAGCTGCAAGCATAGGGAATAACAAATAAAAAAAAAACAAAAAAAAAAAACAAGTTCACTAATATAATCAATAAATAAAACGAACTTTGGGTACTATATACGACAACGAGTTGAAAACGACAACTGAAGCAATGTTTATACACTAAAGAGCCTAAAGAGCTTTAAAAGGACTCGAAGAAGAATTCACGTCTTTATGCCTTTTTAAGTTGCTTGTTATCGAATTATTTTTATAAATATTAATGGCTTTGCGTTGTGTAGCTTTCTTTTGACACGTTACAAAAGTGATAATGTGTTTAGCATAAGCGATTCTCTTTTAAAATTTTTACAGCACAGGGCATGTAGAAGTGCATTTGCATTTGCCAGAAACATTGACATCTTTACGACAATCAAACTAAACCGCAGACAACAACCCATTGCAGAAAAAAAAAAAAAAACAACATTAACAAGCACAAGATAGACAGACAAACATAGAGACGACTATGAAAGGAAAACTTTAATAGACTTCTTCTTTCATAGACTCTTCTCACAATAAAAAAAAAAAAAAAAAAAAAAAAAAAACAATCGAAACTTAAACTCTGCACACATTTACACGCACACGTATCGAAAAAAGAGAAGTAAAAATTTGTTGGCGCGCGCGTGACTCATAAATCATGGCGCTTTTCTTCTATACAAAAAAAAAAAAAAAGAAGAAGACGAAGAAAACGAAGAATCATCTTTCTTTACCCACCTAGGCTAAAGTTTAAAGATCCTATAAATTTGTTACGAAATATGCCTTTTTTTTTGATACTATTAAAGAGTCAAATTAAAGCAAGTTCACTAAAGCGTTTGCAACAGCTGCGAATAATAAGATTTTATAAAGTCTTAGCAATGAGAAAATTCAATTAAATTTCACCCAAATACGAGCGCCTGCCTACTAGTTAGCTCTCATAAGTTTTGGTTAATAATTTGCAAATGTTTCATTAGACAAGAGACACAGCCAAAAATAATATTTTGGGCGGTAACAACTTTTTCGTTTTGATGAGTACATTTGAAATCGATTTACCGTAATGCCGAGTTTACTGAAAACAACCCTAACTAAGGTATATTATATTCGAAATTCTTTTTGCGCCATCCGAACTAAGCGACTCTCAAGGTGACGGGATCGTTAGTCGTGCGTAAAGAGATTTTAAATATTGACGTGATTGACGTCTACTCTATCGATACGTTCCATACAGTCAGTGGGAGACCTATAATGAAATAAGTCTTACCATAGCTGGCCTGGTATCACAGGCGTCAAGAAACCATCGTTTCATGGTTTATGCAGCTGCCTAACACTTGGAAAGGGCTTTAGGAAACCCAGACCATTGAGTTGCAGTGCAACCGTGTACTGGATATAAAGACAGGAAGTAGTATGATATGGTATTTTAGCTATATTGTCCTGTCTGTCCAATCTGGACCTGCGGGTGTATCAAATTGCCCATCCACACTCTCGTCAGATACTCAATGACGCAATGCTTGTTATGTTTGTGTCGTCATGCACCGGAAAGCTAGGCTAAATAGTCCACGTCGAATCTTAGATACGTAAGTACTAGGCGGCCCTTTCATTTAGAGCATTATCATGGAAAATAAGGAGCCTTGTACTGTTTTTGATATTCTAAAATCAAGAAAAAATCGAGTTATGTGTGATTTAGGATTGAATTGTGAACTTTAAACCAGAATTTTCGCTCCGTCAAGTTAGGTTCAAAGATTCGTTCTTTCTGCTCCATGCCTTCAACACTCTCTTTAGAGCTTCAAAAAAATCCTTTCATGTTTTCTTTTCTCAGACAGAATAAATTGCACAATTTCGTCTACATACTTGTGTCTGTCGGCGCCTCAGGCATGAAAATAGGCGTTTTACATCGGCTCATTTGCCCTCAATAAATGACAGAGGACTTCAAAAGTTTGCTGCAAATATAACTCAAGACTATTGAAAAGATTTTCATTAGTCAACGAACGTAACGATCGAAATTAAATAAATTACTTGCAGTTATCTTGGCTAAGTTTCTTGAAAGTTCATTTACCGAGACGGATATCAAATATTATCCATCGCAAAGCGTATATATAACTTTTCTGCTTCCTTCTTATGGTTCTTATGTGCCGTTTGCTCTCTACTTGCAGAATAGTCATGTTCAATTGGCTAAACAACAAATACAAACGGAAATTAAATCATCAATCGGTCAATTACCGGCAGTAACACACCCTTCAGATAATTTTAATGCAAAGAGACACCACAATGAACGTCATCATCATCATCATCATCATAATCATCATCATCATCATCATCAAAAGCAACACTATCATCAAAGTTATCATGAAAATCAACGACAGCAAAAGCAAAAACAAAAGCAACGTCAACGCTTTCACTGGCATCATGGTCAACGTGTTCATCATTTTTATGATCGTCGAAATCGTTGGTTGTTACGACGTCAACGTCGCCAACAACAATTTACATCGTGGTCAGTGTGGTCGGAGTGCGGAATGGACTGTGTGCAACGACGTGAAAGATATTGTAAAATAAAACGGAAATGCGGTCACACCAAGCATATCGAAGAACGCAAATGTCGACAGTAAGTAAGAAAATCCCTTTTCGAACTCCATACATAGATCAGCGAAACGCTTGATTTGTTGTCTAAAGAGAGAGAGAGAGAGCGAGAGACAGACAGAGAGGGAGAGAGAGAGCGAGAGACAGACAGAGAGGGAGAGACAGATCATTATATATTTAAGGTTTATGAAAAAAAAATAAATAAATAATAATAATAATTATGAAATTAATCACTAAATAAATATTATTTGAAAAAATGAAAAATTTTTTTCTACAACAAGTTGTATTTATTAAAATGTTTTTCTAATAAATATTTTCATAAGCAGATGCCAGAGACTATTTGGCAATTCGACAAAAATTGCAGCCAATTCAACACAACATTACACGAACACTACACCAGCAATTAATGCCAATGTTGCAGTAACCTTAGCGCCACTTTTATTACCAAAAGCTAATGAAATGTTATCAACAGTATCAACTGGAACACGTCCCATCCGCATGCAGAGAGAAAACGATCGTCTGCTAATGACAGTAAGACAACGTGATATCAATGATTCCGTTTTTTATATAGTAAAAGCTACCAATGAAAAGAAGAAACGTATAACGCAATTTTTTCGCGAATCGAACGAAAAGAAGAATTTAAAAAAATCTCAAAATTTGAATATAAATACATCTTTGGAATTCACAGCCGATGATAAGCTCATTGATGATTATCACGATCGTGACAATGATGATAAGAATTATATTGAGGAGCAAATCAATAGACGTAATTTAGAGATCACTGAAGCTACTATAGATAGCGATGCTTATCAATATGAAGATTTCGATATTGATAGCAATCGCTCAGAGAGTCAGTACAGTGATATATCATATGAGGACAGTAATGATTACAATGACGGCGTCGATCATGCAAACGCCTCATCATCATTATTTATGCTACCAACAGCCAAAGAGAAAGCAACACCGGAAAATTTGATACCGAGATATCGTAGAATTTATTCGAAATGGAGCAGATGGACTAAATGTTCGCCAAAATGTACCACAAGAAGATACAAGTTAGTTAAAAATTTATAACAAAACACATGGGAAACATACTTTCACTCCTTTCCCTTATTTATGCGTGTTCTTATAGAAAGTGTCGTTTACGTGAGCAATGCGGCCGTGAGGTATTGCGGGAAATTGCTTATTGTTATACGGAACGCAGCTTTTGCCAGCAATGGTTGCAGGCGCAACTACAAAAATCACCGGCCTATGAACTGAGACCGATGGGTTCACGTAGGCGCGATACTAGTTTAGAGAGCGGCACACTTTCCAATTCTGTAGTTAGTGATTTCATAATGAATGGCAAAGGATATCGGGGACCCGAATACGCACCAATGAAATTGAAATGTGGCACAGCACCCATACGTAATAACAAACGAAATATGTACAATATGCTTAAAATTATTGGCGGAAAGACGGCCCGTAAAGGTGAATGGCCTTGGCAAGTGGCCATTTTTAATCGTTACAAAGTACGATATAAGTTTTTCTATTTGAAAACAATGAACAACAATTTTTCTAACAAATGTTTTGAAAGCTTTTTAAATTCAATTAAATGAAAAAAACTTAAAATGTTTTTTAATGGCTTTCTGAAAAGGAAAATTCGTTTATAAATGTTTTTCTTTTTATAAATAGGAAGCCTTCTGTGGCGGCACGTTAATTGCACCTCAATGGATCCTAACGGCGGCACATTGTGTCCGCAAAGTTTTATATGTTCGTCTTGGTGAACATAACTTGGACTACGAAGACGGTACAGAGTTACAACTAAAAGTACTAAGAAGTTATAAACATCCGAACTTTGATAAAAAGACCGTAGATAGTGATGTAGCTTTACTAAGGTATAATATAAAGTGTTGAAGGAAAGAAATAGTTTCAGAAAATCGCCTTAAGCGTATTATATTTTCAGACTACCTAGACCCGTTAATACGACCATGTGGATTGGTTACTCGTGTTTACCGCGTCCCTATCAACCGCTGCCAAAGAATATAGATTGT